TGTATCTCGTGAACTATTGACATTTTTAAAGATATAAACTCATCCCTATGTTACACTCATCAAGAGCTTTCATTCAAGTACCCACATCAATTTTTCATATATTTTATATATTTATATATATTACATATATGTATATATGAAATATATATGAAAAATGCATGTAGGTACTCAAATGAAAGCTCTTGATGAGTCTAAAATTAGGATGAGCTTATATCTTTAAAAATATCAATAATTAAGAACTGACATTGCTATCTTGTCAACTAATGATATTTTTAAAGATATAAGCTCATCCCGATGTTACACTCGTCGAGACCTTTCATTTGAGTACCCACATCAATTTTTCATATATTTTATATATTTATATATATTACATATATATATTTATGAAAAATATGTCAAAAATGCATGTGGGTACTCCAATAAAAGCTCTTGATAAGTGTAACATCAGGATGAGCTTATATTTTTAAAAACGTCAATATTCAAGAAAGTACAGTGCAATTTAACAAAAATCATTATTTAATAATGCTAAATTTTATTTCTGTAGGCTCTAAAGTCGTTGCAATCACGTAGTGACTGCAACTTTGCTAGTTATTATCAAAATAAGTCTAAAATTTTTAAATTTAATTTCAGGTGACTGGTGAATTTTCAAATGCCGGCGAGCCAATGCGTCGTTTCACCCAAACATTCGTATTAGCAGCACGTGCTCCAAAAACCTACTACGTGTTGAACGACATTTTCCGCTACCAAGACCTTGGTTTTCCCGACGAGGAAGTAGAGTTGGAAACAGAGCCATCCAACGACATTCCGGAGCGTCCTGAGACTGAGGAAGGTCGCTCTGAGGTTGACGAGGATGACCAGGGACAAGGACAGGCGCCAGTCCAAGTGGAGCATCATATTGCTCAACAAGCAGCTCAACAACCTCTTCCTCCCCAAGCTCAGCCGGTAATTCCGCCCCAGCAGATGTACTACCCTCCGACCAGTAACCAGATGATCGTCGTAAATGGAACAATCCACGACCCAGAGGCGATGATGAACCAGCAGCCACCAATGATGCCCATTCCTCAGCAACCGGCAGCTCCATTTGTAGAACCCGCTGCGGAGTTTACTCAGGAAGAAGCTCCTGTTGAGCAGCAGCCAGAATCCCAGAGTGAGGAGACTCGTGTTGAGGAACCTCAGGAACCACCCACGGAGAACTTCAACCAGCAGCCGGTTAATGAAGCCGAGAATGAGCAGACCGCTTCCTCGGGAGTTAACAACAAACCCAAGTCTTATGCCAGGACTGTCAGGTCCAATGCTATTGGTGGAAGCTGCAACATCATCCCCAAGACCATGTCACCGGTAAGTTTACTTTTTTGCTTCAAAAATTTTTCGAAAATTTTTTGTAAAATTTTTTTTTTCTTCAAAGATTTGATTTAGAGGAAATTTAATTTTGCATGTCGAAAATAATTGAGTATTATAATTAAGAATTTTGACTTTGATATTGATCATTTTGTACCTAAAAAATGATCGCATGATATGTAATGTTTTTAATTATTGACAATTTTAAAGATATAAGCTCATCTTGATGTTACACTCATCAAGAGCTTTCATTTGAGTACCCACATGCATTTTTGATATATTTTTCATATATACGTATATATAAATATATAAAATATATGAAAAATTGATGTGGGTACTCAAATGAATGGTCTCGATGAATGTAACACCAGGATGAGCTTATATCTATAAAAATGTCAATAGTTGACAAAATACAAGGTCATTTTTTAATTATTAACATTTTTTAAGATATAAGCTCATCTTGATGTTACACTCATCAAGAGCTTTCATTTGAGTACCCACATGCATTTTTGATATATTTTTCATATATACATATATATAATATATATAAATATATGAAAAATTGATGTGGGTACTCAAATGAAAGGTCTTAATGAGTGTAATGTCAGGATGAGCTTAAACTTTTAAAAATGTCAATAGTTGACAAGATACAATGTCATTTTTTAATTATTAATATTTTTAACGATATAAGCTCATCCTGATGTTATACTCATCAAGAGCTTTTATTTGAGTACCCATATGCATTTTTGATATATATATATATATATATATATATATATGTTGGTACTCAAATGAAAGGTCTTGATGAGTGTAACATCAGGATGAGCTTATATCTTTAAAAATGTCAATATTTAAAAAGTGATCTTGAAAATATCAACTTTAGTGATTTTTCTTAAAAGATCTTTTTTGTAGTAAATTAAATTTCCTACAAGTTTTGTCTTACCTTTTTTTTTTTGTATATTTAGACATTTATAAATTAACAATAATTTTGTAAAAAAATCAGGCTTTAATTTTTTTATTTAAAAAATCTTTTATTTTTTTAATTTTGCCTGAAAATTAATTCAAAAAATTTTTCTAGCCTCCAGTATCCAACGTAAGAAACGAGGAACGGCCATCAATCGACGTGTGGAACCAAAACAACACCAACATGTCGTCGAATGTAATGTCTTCTGGACCAGTACTGCAGCACCAGTACAACAGAATGCAGAACTCTCAGCAGCAGCCCCAGCCACAGCGACCTCGAGTAGGTCCACCACAAAAAGACAACCGTGGAGGTGAAAGACGTCGCGACTGGCCTGACCACCATCAGCTCTTTGTAGGAAACGTTCCACACTCCGCGACTGAAAATGAGCTGCGCATTATTTTCGAACGCTTCGGCAAAGTCGCTGATCTGAGAATATTCTCGAAGGGCAATGAGCGTAGCAAAGGACCTCAAGGCTCCAACAACTCTATGCGTGGTGTTCCTCATTATGGCTTTGTTACTTTTGAAGACTCCAATGTTGTTTCTAAAGTACTCGCCGCTTGTGTAAGTATTTTTTTTATAAACTTTTTCATTTTTTTTAATACAAATATTTTAATAATTTTTTATAAGCAATTATTGATTAAAATTGAAATAATTATTATTATTTGTTAAATATTGACGTTTGTAAAAATATAAGCTTATCCCGATATTACACTGATCAAAAGCTTTCATTTGAGTACCCACATGCATTTTTGATATATTTTTCATATATACATATATGTAAT